TTGGGTTTTCGTCGCTTGGCAACGACGTTGTAAAACAAGCCATCTCCCTCGGTGTTTGCCATCGGGACTGGGTTTTCGTCGCTTGGCAAAGACGCTGTAAAACAAGCCAATTCACTTCGTGAACTCGGGCAACCAGGTTACCGTTTTTTTTTTTTACCTCCGTTTTTTTTTTTGGCGGTAACCATAATGGTGGTCGAGTAGATCATGTTGTGCGGGGTGGAGAGCCCTCGCTCCGCGCAAGGGGGATGATCGCACCACGTTGTGTTGAAATGGTCAAGCACCCTCGAGGCAGTTACACAGCAGTGCTTACAACTCTCTCTGGAAGTGAAGCACCAGAACATAAATTAAGTCATACGCAGCTGTCATCCGTACGCAAGGAAGTAAGCACGAGATGCCGAAACCCCTTAGCAGCACCCTTCATGCGACTCGCCGAATATCTCACGGCGCTTCGCGCTTGGTGATGTGAGAGCCTGGTCCGGTNCCCCAACTTACCACGACGAGGCCCCGTCAGCGATGCCGGCAAGGCAACCGCTGACGACCGTGACAGTGAAGAGGAACTTGCACGACTCCCCGTGGGACTGAGACAGAATCAGGCCCTTGACGGAGGACAGCGGGATCTCGTATCGAGGACCGGAGAGCGTTCTTGCCCACGACATCTGCAAACACAAAATTGTTAATAGACGCACTGTATGTTTGCATAAAAGGGGTGAAAGAGAACGTTCTTGCCCATGATATCTGCAAACACAAGAAAAACTAGGTATATGTCGTCAACAATGGGTATCGTGTATGCATCCCGCTCACAGAAAATAGAGACACGTGTGCGTATTTGTTCAAAGCGATGTGAACAGATCTCCACGAGATCCGGCAAGGCGTGGCGTCCTCCCTTGCTATGGAAAAACGCTTCCGCAGTACAACACCCGACGTACTGCTGTAGACAAAACGAAAATCAGGAACGCGGTCTCGCGGTTACAGTCTGCAGCCTGCCTGCTATACCCCCCATACCTTCGTCGCATACTACGCCCACCGCCACACCACTCACCCAGCCGTCCGCGGGGTGCAGAGAACACATGGCGTCGGCGTTCTTCTCAGGGGACGGCGAAGAACCCCCCCCCCCCCCCCCCCCCCCCCCCCCCCCCCCCCCCCCCCCCCCNTGCCCCCTGGTGCATCCTGACTTCTTTCATGACGCTCGTGAGACACGAATCTGCGTCACCCCCTTCACCGTCCTCCCCGCCGTTGTGGCTGCTGCTGCTGCCCGACACGGCCAGCGAGAGGGCCGACGCCCATCGCCAGTATTGGAACTCCTCTCCGGGGATGATTCTGCGGCGCCCCCCGGTGGTGGCGGTGTGTGTGTGTGTGTGTGTGTGGGGGGGGG